ATTAGAGTGTTTGCATGCAGTTTTACGCGCAGAAATTCACGCATGTTGCCTGGTGCAACTTTGCCAAGGGGAAGGGTCAAAATCTACGTCCTCCATCGTTGCGACTGTTAACGAATTCCCCTAGGTTTTTTTTTTCGAAGCAGAGTCGATTCGTCGTCTCTCGATGATGATATTTAATCGATATCAAACTTTTAAACACGGCCTTTGTTATATCGAAGATGAACGGACAAGAGTATTTTGACGATCGAAGCCGTGTGTGTTTCACAAATTTTATACCCGTTCGAATTATTTTTAATCGCATTATTTTTTTTTTTTTTCTTTATCCTTTCTCCAACGAACGAACCATCGCAGACATATTTTTCTTGCGAACAAATCTGAAACAATGATGACGACGACACACGCGTCCATATTCTCGCGAAGAAATCCGAAAAAAGCCGAGAAACGCAATCTGAGTTATTTGAATTTGACGATAAAACGATTTGGCGAGGATAAATGCGATTATGTAAATGAGCACGATAATTTTTTGAACGCATCACGAACGTGTGAGGGTGAAAGTGAATCTACGAAAGAATTTTATTCTGTCTTATTTCGTTTCCTTTTCGGGATGGTTACGAGAAGGGAGGGGAGAGTTAGACCTCGATGAATGGTGTGTACTTGTGCGTTTGCCTTTCAGTGCTCGATATATACATTACTGTATATTATGTGTACGATAGAGCTGTACATATAGGAAAGTACAATAATTGCTAAAATAATCATGGCGTGGAGCGACAGAGTCTCAATCTTTATTCCGTGTGTTGCGCCAGTCAGTTTATCCAAGATAGGCGAATGATTCTTTGCAAAATTGCATTACGATCCAATTTTATCTTAAATTAACATTTGATATCGATGAAGATTTTAAATACAGCGAGATCGAGAATTTTTATTCTGATCGTACCCCTCGCCCCTCGAATCATTCGTCCATCGTCAATAGAAAGTGCTAATTGCGTCACTGTGAGAATTAACGATGACAATGATGACACACGAACAATGGAAACACTGCCCTCTTACTTGCTACTACTGCCATTATCAATGAAAACATCCGTTTCGATGAACTATCAATTTAATCAACTGCCAAGATTTTACCAATCGTAATATTCTTCACGATAATCACGTCCAAGAATCACGCTCAAGATACATTGGCCTTGGGAAACGTCGAAACCTAGGGCCTAGAACTTGTTTCTCTGAAAGAAATAAATTTCATGCGGTGACTTTATTCCTGCATTTATTTCGATTACTCAACTTTTGATTAATTCGAAAAGAGTACTTTTTTTTTTCTTTTTTTAACGATGAATAATATAAATTGCAAAACGTTCCATTTCTCATATCGATCGCCTTTTTCTCAGCATTTATTATTAACGTATTGAAGTTAAATTGTAACGTTGTACATCGTTGCCTGTAATCTTCACAGTTTCGTCGAATAGACTAACACAGTTTTATTTAAGAGGATAAAAGAATAAAAAGAAAAAAAAGAAAAATGAAAGGATCACTGGCGGAACACAGAATACCAATAATAATTATATTTTAGTAAAAAAAAGAATTTATCAGTAATATACTTGTAGGATAATCGGCCGCGGGAGCGGACACTACGGTTTTACCTAATTACGATGTAGTTCTATAAGAGAACCATAATTGCTAGTCTTTAATTTCCGACGTGCTCGCGTGTACTTGCACGTCATTGCGGAGTATATAATGGATGTTTTAAGAATCCCTCTGTCAGAGCAACTTTATCATTCTGCGAATTTTTATATTTTCTTTCTTTCTTTCTTTCTTTCTTTCTTTTTAATCTCTTCAATCATTTTAATCGTGCTTCTAATTATTCTTTGCCTAATATTTCAATCGTTCTCTTTTCTTACAACTCTTTTCTTAAATCTTCGAATCTCATCGTTAGATCAAGATCTCTATATTTTTAATGAAAAAAATTGTATATACCATACCGAATAAAAATTCCTTTGTCTCTCTTCTTTCAAAAAACCTTCGTGTCGCGAAAAATGTTAAAGTTGCCTCCGACATTCTAACTATTCACGTAACGTATATACGTGTGTGTATCAGGCGTGTGTAAGGAAGAATTAAAAATTAACGAAGAGCAGGGAATATGATAAACGACGAATAAGAAGAAGAGGAAGAAGAAGAAGAAAAAGAAGAAAAGAAGAATATAATGCCATTTTTATGTATACATATATTGTACTAATGATTATTATAAATTTTTTTTTTTTTGTTTTATTAATATTATCCTTACTACTACTACTATTACTACTATTACTATTATTACTATGATTTATCGTCATCGGATATCGATCCTTGTTTATCGAATAATTGCTATTAATTGATAATTCGCGATCGGTCGCGAATCACCGTTGTAATATGCGCTTTGATTTTTATACATAATATATATCTATATATTATATATATATATATATTATATAGAAAGAAAAAAAAACGGATTACTCTGTAGAGGACGTAAGTGTATTTTGATATAGTGCACGATGCCGTATATGAGTGGGTGCGTGTATCCGTGTATGCGTTTAATTGTGACATGAATTCTACATGTGCCCGGCCCTCAATCGTCGGGCATACGCAGAATAATTTCTTTAAATGTTGTTAAGTTCTCGGTACGTCTGTTTTTATCCTTTGTTTTTTCCTTTGTGCTTATTTTTTTTTTTTTTTTTTTTTTTTTTCTCTTTTAGCTAGATATCACATAGTACATGCAGTTACTTTTCCATCGAGACGATCGGCATTTCGCGTATCGTTCGTAAAAAATAATTGAAATAATATTGAAATAGAAAATTATTTTCTCGTGTTGATTACTCATTTCTAGTTATTTTTTTTCTTTTTCTTTTTTTTCATAATTTTCATTTCTAACTTCGAATCTTTACATTTTACATATTCGAAATAAATCTAATTTTCTTTTTCTTTTCTTTCTTTTTCTTTTCGATTAATTAATCTAGCTTCAAAATTTTCACGAGAATGATGCGCGATATTCCGTTCGTCGACAACACGATTCCTCTTGGAAGATGTAACACGCGTCTCAATCAAGACTGTAAATAGCAAATAGCAGGCGTTCGATGGACCTCCACCTTAAGGTTCCCACATTTAACTCCCGATGTTTAAGTGCCTAAAAAAGAACAAAAAAAAAAAAAAAAAAAAAAAAAAAAAAGAAAGAAAGAAAGAAAAAAAAAGAAAGAAAGAAAGAAAGAAACCGGAAGAAAAAAATCCTCCTCGAACCTTTGTTGTCTAGTTTCTAGAAGTGGGTAAGATACTATTTTGACGGCTGGAAGTCACCGCGAGTTGATATTAGGAATTTCAAAGGGCTAAATATAACCGTTTCAAGAGTGCTGCAACACACACACACACACACACACACATACATACATTCTTTCTCTTCGTCGTAGAATCTCTTGGAGCTAGTAAAAAAGGAAAAAGAAAAAAAAAACACTCTAAATAAGTAGTAAAGCTACCAGTAGCGGAGAAGAATAAATAGATAAAAACAGGCAAAAATAAAAAAGAAGAAAAAAAATGGAAAAAAAACAGTATAAAAAGGAATATATTTACGAGATGATCAATGTTTAAAAAAAAAATAATAATAATAAAAAAGTTATTACAAGATAAAGAAACGTTTAAACGAGAATTATAAATGCAAAAACACGTAGAGACGATGAGGAAAAAGAAGAAACAGAGAGAGAGAGAGAGAGAGAGAGAGAGGGAGGGAGGGAGAGAGAGAGGTAGAGAAAACGTCATTCCCACTTTGATGAATTAATATACGTATGATATATATATATATACAAATATATGTTATACATATGTACGTAAAAGACGAAATAGTATTTTATCTGACTGCTAGTTTCACGTCACAGTGAATGGATAAAATGTCATTCGACACACCCTCAGCAGATCTCAGCACTCTGACGAAACGAACGTGGATCGTTTATTTTTTATTCGCGCATAAAAGTCCCGATCGTTTCCGTGGAGCGCGTTTACGAACACCGGTGTTCACAGGGTACATCGGAAATCGGGATTCACGACTATATATAATATACGTAAGGTTCACAATGTTTAAAATAATAATAATATGTATTATTACATTCTTCGGGCGGATATCGGATTTTTTCGAATAAACTTACCAACGATTCTTTTTCTTCTTTTTTTTTTTTCTCTCTTTTTTTCTTGTACAAACAATTGTTTCGAATCGCGATAATGTCCGGGATAAAAAATATATTGTACAACTGTTAGAGCACAAAGAATCGATGTACAAACGCGTTTGAAGCTAAATTGAAATAATTTCTTCCCCTTCGCCTTCCTCCTCCTTCTTTGACCAGCGGATAATCTTTTTTCCAAATTTTTTCTCTTCTGTATTTAGAAGAGATAAAATTATTCGTTAAAAATCCGATCGCCTTCGGTACAATTGAATCTTTTAACCCCTGTTCCAGTGATTTATATCGTACAAAGAAGCCGCAATCGATTCGCGATGCAACCTGTGAACGCGCGAGCGCGTGCGTGTATATTAATTATTACAGAATATATATATAACAGAGTATATATATATATATATATAAATAAACGAAGAAGAAGAAGAGATATATATACACACAAAAGAAAAAAGGTACACGAGTGTATCCGTGTGAACAATGAAAAGATGGAACCTTGAGGTCGCGGCACGGGTCCCTGAAACCGGAAGTACCGCGACGATGAGAGCCGATATTTTGTTGCGCGTGCAGAGAAGTCAATTTTTTCGATTTACAAAATAAAAGAAGAAACCCCTTTGCATCACTGTAACATACCTCTAGAACGTTTCATAGTTTAAATTAGCCTTCGGGTTATCGATCGAAGATCGAGCACGTTCGATCGAATATTTTTCAAGGTTAAGGTCGAGATCGAAGGTGGAAGGAACGAATATATAATGATAGATAAGTTAAGAAAAGAAAAAAAAAAAA